GAGATGGCAAAATTTTCTATGTCTTGAGGTTTATAACTAAACGATTTCTTTTAGTTATATTCTGTGTGACTTTGCTTTTCACCAGCAGAACTATTTTGGTTATCAGAAACATTATAACAGGGCACATTCTGATCTTCATATGAAATGCTGAATGTCACTCATTTAGTTTAAAGTCAGTTGTTTTACCATATGTTTATGGTCCTTTGCACTGCGGGAAGTCGAAATACCTTTTATATTCCAGCTCAGTCTACGTAAAAGTTACGGTACTATAAGAAATAATCTTTATAACATTGATGTACTTGATATCATATTCAATTTTACTCAAGATTCCGTTTCCCCTTCGTATTAAAAATATTACAGTCTCTCCTACATACCATTTTTATTGCCTAATTCTAAAAATCACTTCCCAATGTTAACGCGCTTCGGATATATTATTACGGACAAATTGTTTACTTTTACATACGAATATTTCTTTAGGGCGTTAATGAAGTAACTCACTTAGTTACTAAACCATAGTAACAAAAAAATAATGGGACAATGAAGCATAGTTTAAACTTAGGCTGAAATAAAATTAGGTAATATATTTATTACTATATATTTTGCATATATTTTAGATATTTTTATTTCACATATAGTATGATATCGACAGTGAAATATAAAATCTACGCCCCATAAATGTGAAAGTGTTTTGAAGATTTATATTTTTCTAACACTTCTCCAGCACATTAAATAGATGAATGAATATGAATTCGTAAGTATCGATATTTACTAAATATATTATAACATATATATATATATATATGTATAACTTTTTGATTCCAGCATTAACGACACATTCCAACTTTCAGTTGGAATTTAAAAGCGCTTAGCGAGTGATTAAATGCGGTAAACCGCTAAAAGCTAAAATTAAACTTATGCAGGCAGGCGCTTGTCTTGAAGACATCAAACAAAAGTGGTTCAATAATAAAAATTAAGATAAAAAATGTTCCGGGAATTATTGTTAGCAGAATATAACCAGTTTACTCTCAACCGATAATTAAGCGCCGATTCAACTTCACAGCGACTGGCTGAATCAACTGCAACAGTCATTCCTTGAGTCAGTTGCAATCAATGCAATGATCAATGCTGATGAAGAAATGAAAAGTAATTGGCGTGTGGGAAACGCTTTAACGCCACGATTGATTAATTAATTGTATTTGAGTAAAAATCCGAACGTGAATTATTAAATCCAATTTCGATTTAGAAGCGCAGTACCTCACCATATGCGTTCAGTGGTTAGACGTGCTGGAGAAGCTATTGTTCTTTACGTGTTGTTGTGTACACGATGAACGTAAGCTTTTCTTCCGCATTATTCGACCGTGAACATCGATTCTATTGTGGTTCGGTCAAATGCCTCTAACTGAACATCATTAAATTTTGTTATGTGTGCATGGCAGCAGAAGTTTATATTCTTGTGCTTAACTACTTTAAGACTAGAATATTTTAATATCATTTTAAGCCGATCTCTGTGGAATAGTTGCTTTCCAATTAAATACAAGAATCCGCCTGTTACGAAATACAATATCTAAAATGCGTAAATTATGAGCTTCTTTAGAATTAAAAATATGGCTAAAAATAAAATATAATTTAAATATGCTATTAAATTAACTAAAGTTAAATATATATTATGATTTTTTTATTTGTTATTATTTATTTGTCGAGCTTCTGTCTTTCAGTCAATGAATATGAGTCTTACATTGTAAGCACTTCCGTACAACTTTTACTAAAATTTAAATATTTGCATATACGAACGAGTACGTTTTGAAAGGCAGATCATAATTTGGTCCATGAAAATATTCATTTTTTAAATTATATGTAAGCAAAAGTGTAATGATTCCGGAAAAAGAATAAAATGCCCATATATGGACGCATTTGAATATGACTTTAATAAATCTATTGCATATGCACCCCATATTGTTTGTTGTAAACTATTATATTAGTATTTTTGTGTTAAATATTTTATAAATTTAAAAAAGATTTAAGAAAGATAATTTTTTATTAATAAAAAATAAACTAACAAATTTTATAAGTTATATAAAACAAAATAATTTTCAATTTAATAATCATAACAATTAGTGTTATCCCTTTTATAAAAAACATTGACAATTGTTTATAATTCTCATATACTTTAAATTGTATTATCTGTACAATAGATCGTAATAACATAAATTATTGTGACCAGCATCGATTTTAATAAAAGTTGTTTTTATTTTTACGCAAAGTATTATGTAATTAATTGTGTAATTGCTTAGTTAGCATAACTATCAACATGCGTAATAATCAGTTTTTCAGTATGGAGTTTATTAATAATTTAAGAGAACATATTTCTTATGTACTTCAATTTATATTATTTATATAAAAACTAGTAGCACTTCGGATTGCTATGAGAATTTCGTTTTTTTAATAAAAACTTATCATGTATCAGTAGAACTAGTTTTCAAGAATCGTCGTCAGGGAACCAGTGTAAAGGCCATGTTGTACAAAATATCATGGAGTAGTCAAAATTATCTCTTTTGGACTTTGACTGTTTTCTGGACTGAATAACAGTGCTTTGTGTAAGTGACAAGGCACAGATAACCTTGGCTTTCATGACCAATTTTTAATCGACATATAGTTTTTTTTTTCTCTAACTTTCATAATTTGCATTGAAAACAACAACAATTTTGCTCATGGCGAGCCCATGACACTTTACATAAAATGGTCCTTACAGTTTTTCAATATGGCATATAAGAGAGCATAATTCCCGTATATTTCAAATTATAGATGGATACAAATTATAGATATACTATTTTATATAAAAAATAGTTGCAAGTTATGTTATTGTTAAGAGGTTCGTTTTTAGTAAAAGGCAATTTTGTTTAGCCTAGAAAATCTTAATGTTAATATCAAACTGGTTGGTATGACTATCCACATGTGTAACACCTCGTTCTTCAGTATGGAATTTATCCATATTTTAACAAGACGGAAATCTCATTTATTTTAAATTATATTGGGAGGGGTTTCATTATTAATAAAAGTTAATTTTACACTAAAAATAATTTGAAAGTAATAAAACAAAGTAGTTGGTATAATCATTCGAGTCAGTGTAACACTAAGTTTCTGTTTAGCTTTTTTTAAATTTGAAAAGGACTTTTTTCTATTTTTTTAATAATTGTTGGTTTTGAGTTGAATTATGAAATATTGTATTAAAATATTGTTTAATTGCTCAAATATATTTATTTAATTTAATTTATTTAATTTAAATTAGAATTTAACTTTGTTTTATTTTTAAATATTTAAAATATATATTATTAAACATTATAAATAATTATTATTTTTATTGTTAAAAAAATAAAAATCAATTATAAATTGCTTGATCACCACTCAGTTGTAAATAAAAATTATTTTAATAATTAAGCAAAGTATGCATATGTTTAAAATTAAATTTTTTAATTAAATAAAAGTAAAAAGTGATGTATTGATATAATATGAAATAATATAAATTCTTATTATATATACCTATTTACATTTTGTGAAAATTAAATAAAGTACAATTTTTATACATATAACATTTCTTTAAATATTATATTTCCATAAAAAAATGAAATGTTTATTTATAATGAAATAAACAACCAGTGTTATATATTAACTATTTAAGAATTATTTGAATAATTAAATAAAAAATACATTATTTGAAATTATATTTTATAATTAAATATATAACCAGCGTTATTATATTTACTATTTAAAATTAATAATAATAACTAAATAAAAAATACATTAATTAAAATCATATTTTATAATTAAATAAATAACCATTGTTATTATATTTACTATTTAAAAATTATTTCAATAAATAAATAAAAAATACCTTAACTAAAATTATATTTTATAATTAAATAAAGAAACATCGTTATTATATTTACTATTTAAAAATTATTTGAATAATTAAATAAAAAATACATTATTTAAAATTATATTTTATAATTAAATAAACAACCAGCGTTATTATATTAACTATTTAAAATTAATACCATTACTAAATAAAAAATACATTAATTAAAATTGTATTTTATAATTAAATAAAGAACTAGCGTTATTATATTTACTACTTAAAAATTATTTCAATTATTAAATAAAAAATAATAACTAATAATTAAATAAAGAACCATCGTTATTATATTTACTATTTAAAAATTATTTCAATAATTAAATAAAAAATACATTAATTAAAAATTATATTTTATAATTAAATAAACACCTAGCGCTATTATATTTACTATTTAAAAATTATTTCAATAACTAAATAAGAAATACATTAATTAAATTTTATATTTATTAATTAAATAAAGAACCAGCGTTAATAAATATAATAATAGATCTATTGTTAATTTTTATTTTGTGTATAATTAAATTGCATATTATCATTTGTATCTAATTCTATCCTTGAGGTTACGCATTATAATTTGTTTCGAAAAAAACCCTTCATTAATTTTACTGCTTACAATTACTTTCATTGACCTTAAGCAATTTTAAAAAGTATTCTAAACGTATTTCCTATAGTGAGTAGCTGTTGCGTCTCTCTGCGAAAACCAGTTAATCAAAACTATATGATTCATAAATTTCCGTTAAATATAAATTTATAAATAAAAAGTTAAAAATATTGAATGAAAATCACTCAAGAATCGTACTCAAAACGGACCATAAAAATTCTCACTCATTCGGCAAGAAAAGTCACGTACACACCAGTCACTGCAGTTTGGACAAAAGCTAACAAACGCAAACGCAAATGTAAACGCAAACATCAACAACAACAACAACACAATTAATGTTGTGCCACTCAAAACAGTAAACACAATCAGCAGACAACAGCCGTGCTTGAGTTTAAATTTGAGTGCAAGTGGACGCTTGAGTTGGAGCGCTTTGGAGTTTGTTGGTTAATATAAAACCAACAAAGCGTATCCATTGATATTCATTAAGCGCTTTACTTCAAGTCTTAACACTTTACACCCAACACAACCATTCAAAACAGTCGAAAGGAGTTCGACTCTTGTAACACTTACAATTGTATCTGAAACGTGCGGTCCGTAGAAATTTCATTGTGAATTTTTTAAATATTTTGTAAAAGTTTTGTTAATTTTTAAATTCGGTTAGCGAAAAGTTCGTTTTGAATAAATTTTCCATTTTGTCTTACACTTTGTAAAATAACAATTGCAATCACGACTTTGTTTTAAGGCATTTTGTTGAACGAACTCAAGGAAGTGCATTTCGTTAATGTTCATTTTTGCATTCATTTTTGCATTCATTTTTATTAAAAGCAACGATTTGTGTTAAGTGCAAAACGAAATTCTATTTTAAAAATAAATTTTGAAAAGAAAGCAGATTTTTTAAAAGCAATTTATTGCATTTTCAAGTAAAAGTGCTGTGATTTTTTTGTGATCGTCAGATAATTGCTTAATTGCAGTTTTAATTAATTGTTAATTAATTTTCATTTTTTGAACGAAACAAAAAACAAAAGACCCAAAAAAATGAAATTCGTAAGTACTAAATAATTTTATATTTCAATTGTTTAATATTAAAAGATATAAAGAATTCACTTTTGCAATGCACACTTAAATTAAGTATCCCTTAAGTGTGCGATATAGAGTTATTAAGTGTCACTTAAAATTCAAATAAATGTCACTTTAGTGTTAAATCAGTACTTAAGCGTGTGCAATTTGACCTCAAAGTATTTATTTATTAGATTAGGTTTATCATTAATAATAAAATTCATGCATTGTGAAAATATTTAACATAAAAGATGACTTATCGCATTAAATTTGGTAATTTCAAAAATATTTTCGTATTTGTAATAAAAATTATTTTAAGATGCTGTGACGTTAGTTCAGTTGATTTAAAAGAAAAAAAATTAATTATGCGTTATAATGCAAAGAATTTTGAAATACTTTGATTAGCATTTCACAATTTGACTTTCTGGTTTTTCTAAACAGAATTTTTGTTTATTTTTGAAATATAAAACAGAAATTGGAAAAAACCTTTTGCGATAGATTTGATTTAGTTTCATAGCAATATATGTATATAAATAGCAAAGTAGCAATGGGTTTCATAATAAAACAAAAACCAAATATAGTCAAAAAATAAAAAAAAAAGAAATGTATTAAAAAGACTTAATTTTTTTATTATATAAATTATATAAATATGAATACAAATATTATGATTGAGATAGAAACAGTTTTATGGAGCTATATATATGTGTAAAGATATTTGTTGCAGATTATTTTTTTGTTAAATAAAATAGATTCTATATTGTTATTTGATAAAGCATATTTTTGTTTTTGATGAACAATTTTGTATACAAAAAATTAATTAGTGAAAGTAACTATAAAAGGTCAATCAAGACAGATAAAGAGTAGAATAGAAAAATAGTATTCCTTTACTTATGAATAAGTGCATATTATTTAAGTATTTCAATAATTGATCAAATAATAATTATATTTTTAATATAATTAAATATATTAATAATATAATAATTTAATATATAACAATTTAATATATTAATATTAAATAGTGTTCTTTAAACAGTACACGGTGCGTATACGTAATGTTAATAATTACCAAGGGACAAAATCAAATATTGTGAACTCTTTCTGTATACTATAGTATATATTATTAATTTTGCTTAAGTGAAGTTATTAAATTTGAAACTTTATCGATTAAATGTTTGCCCGTTTTTTATTTAATTTAAAAAAACATTTAAATTGTTTGGAAAGTATTTTAAAATTCAATTGTAAACTATATTGAGCACAAAGCAAGTTACCTGGTATTTAAGTATTTACAATACTTAAGTATTGTAAATACTTAAGTTCGGTAACATTTTTTTAAATAAAATTCGTTAATTAATGCTTAATGTGAATTGATAAAATACTGGTATCTATATATATTTTCCTCATTTCCTAAAACAGTGTTATAGCAAATAAATTAAAAGCTTAACTACTTTTATTTAATAACAACAAGTTTCCTTGCCTTTAAAATAACCATTATATTAAATTTAGATAAAATATTTAATTAAAATAATAATTGACAAACAGTTTATAAACTTTAATTATTTCTTAATCAGTAGGGAGAAAGTTTTTTTCTTTTTAAAGAAGGCACTATTTAAAGCACTACTTAAACGATATATAAAAATATGAGCTATATTTTTCATCTCCAATGCATATAGAAGGCGATGATAAACAGATTTCATTCTAACTATTAAATTAATTTATTATTTTATTTAAAATGCATAATAATAATGAGTTCTTATACAATTTACACACATATATTAAAATTACATGTAATTTTTTTTTAATAGAAGTATTCCTATTACTTTTTTTGTTATAAAAATACAAAAAAAAATTTTTTTGTATATAATTATTAAATTTTAAGAAACAACCTTATTTGTCAAATAATTTTTAATTTTGCTCCATGATCGTTTTTGATCTTTCTAAATGTATCTAGAACTTCTGCTTTTTATAAATAAAAATTTAAAGCATTAATATTTTGAACTATCATCTGCATTGATAGTTAAACTTTTTAAAGAACTTTTTATATACGATGTAATAAATAGTTTTATAACTTTTTTTTAAGTTGTAATAATAATTAAAAGATGACTATGTGAAGATTAGCTATATGATTATTTTATGCAAATCAGTCTCTTTTAATTGGCTTTCTTTAAGTACTTCTCAGTTTTTTTACCCATTTATTAAGAGTATTAAGATTTTCTCACTCAACCAAATTAAACAGTATTCATTATAATACAAAATATATCGAATTGTTTGTTCAACTTTTAATTAATAATATTATTATTATTTTGCTTCTTATTAAATATATAAAAGGCTGTCAGTTGCCTTTTATATAAATCTATGCATGAACTATGTCTAGCTCTACTATGACTATGTCTATATATTAACGTTTAATGGTATTAACTCACAATTTATTTGAAGAAGGTCTTTGTAAGTTTTTCTTTTTAGCCTTGTGATATTCGAAGATGATGTTAAAAAATATACAAAATATTTTTTCTATATTTCTACTAATAATTCAGAATATTCTTTTATTTCAATATAAAAATTCTTAAAAAGTGTTATTTAAGTTTCATTATTTTTACTTTAATATTTAAGCTTAGGCAAAATAAACTTTGAATAAAAATATAAATCAAAAAATTGGCTATTATATATCCATTTTTTATAATTTAATCAATAAAATTTGACATAACTATCACATTTATATCTTGAAAATATTCATTTTATCCGAAAAAAATGCACCCACAAAGATTGTAAAATGAAATTAAAATCGAAAATAAATCAAATTAATTTATGGTTGCATAAATTTAGACAATTCGTTAAAAAAATTTGGTGTGGCAGTTATTTATTACAATATGGTTTAATATATATATATAGAAATTTGAATATTTGAATTTATTATCAAACAAATCAAACAACACGTAAATATTCAATTTCAAAGTTATAGAGGAAAGGGCATCAATAAGGGCATCAGAAAGCAATTATATATATGGTAATTAGGAAAGCTATTAATATAATCTATTGGTATTTATTATAATTAGTACTTCTTCTTTTAAAATTACTATATGCTTATAATTAGTATTGGCTTATAATTACTATTTGCTTATAATTACTATTTAAGTATTTTACATAACTTCGAATTGATAATAATTTAAATTTTAAACGTTTAATATTTATTAAAAAAAACATCCGCAAATTCTAACTAAAACGTGACTTAAATTTTTTCTTATATTTGAAGTACTTTTTGACAATATCCGTCATTAGTGTTGTTTTTTCATATCTTAATTACTTGCAAATTAACATAAAAAACGAGTTAAAAATAAATCAATTATATATATTAACTTCATTTAATATTTTTCACAGTTAATTTCATAAATTTTTATTCTCATGTATTTTTTTTTATTTTATTTAAATTTCGTAGTCTTCACGTTCAGGTGCTTTGTGTGTAATTAATTACAAATTCAAATAAATTTTTTATTACTTTTTTGTTTAAATTATCTTAATAATATATGTTTAAATATTGGTTTTTTATTTAAAAATATCTGGTGTTAAAATTTTTTTGTTACGCATACGAATTGATATTAAAAATAATTGCGATTTCTCAGCAAATGAATGAATTTTAATACTATAAACAGATATATATATATATACATATAGAAAGAAATTATATTAAACAACTATAAAATTAATAAAATACTTAAAATTAAGAAACCAAATTAAAAAGTGCATATAGATTATTGATGATGAGTGGTTGGCAATATTCAAAACAGCTGTATTGGTTAACCGAAAATTCAATTAATTAAAAATAATAAAAAGCTTTTGTTGTTGCAATTCACTACTGTTCAATGAAAATCTCTCTATTGAAAATAAAAGTTCATATTAAGAATTTAACTGCTTTCGTCAAAATGGACGTTAAAAATCCACATTAATGATATTGTAAAATAAAATAAATTACATTAAAGTATTTTATAGTTTCTGTTTTTATTATCTGTCATATTAGTGACACTTTCTCGTCATAATAAATCAATTAAATACTTTTTTAAAAGTTTATTGACAGGAATTCATTAATTTTTATTTATTTTTTGTATATTTTTAAATACTTTCATTCGTCTCACTTAATTTCATTAATGTTTTTAAACAAATATTTATTTTTTAACTAAGAAATTCGTTATGTTGAGACTTCTTTAAATTGTATCTTTCGATGCACCGAGAGTCCACTGTACTCTTACTTACTTACTTCTTTTCACCAATAAAACTTAGATAGAAATTTTATTATAGTTCATTTACAATCAAATAAATAATGAAATTCATCAAAAAAATGTTTAAAATCTTAGATAATCTTTAACATGAAAATAATGAAAGCAACTCATAAAAAATAATGAAAATTGAACTTTTAACTTCTTAGCTGACAGTTCAGTTACAACAAAAGAAATACTTGCATTTCCAGATAAAATAAAAAACAACTAAAATTTTGCATTGTTGCTTGAAAAATTTGCAATGTCTTATTTAATATTTCATATAAAGCCATGGTTATATATAACAAGTATTAGCATTTAGTTGCCACTCTGAATCCAAACAGTAGATGATGTAAAAGCTTATAATCTTTTACACCATCAATGCACATTTTATTTATACAGCAAAATATTTCTTTATACAGTAAAATTATGTTTCTTTGACGTATAAATGTGGTTTCCAGGTTTTGAATTGATTTAATTTTTTTAAAAGTTATAATTTAGTTTGGGTTACGGTAACGCTTCCAGTAAAAAAAATTATTTGTTTATAAAAATTTAATTTACTCAGCAATTTAGTAACTTATAATTTAGTTAATCACATAAAGCCTCTGTTGTAAATAAAATATTTCCTAAGTTTTAAAAGTACATAGTTTTTTGCTGTTGGTTTAACACACTTTTTAAATGCATATTAATAACTAATATTAAATTTAATAACTTCTGAAAAAAAAATATAGTTTTATATTAATA